GTGGCTGTGAATGATCTGTTCCTGCCTTGCTGTGCTACCGATGTCACTGACATATAGCCTGAAAAACCTACAACAACCCAGTGATTCCAGCCATGAAAGCCTTCCACAATACATTTGGAAGAGGGTTTTTTTTTTGCCTTTTTATTTTCTAAATTATTGTGAATAGTACCACTCAAAATTATATAAACATTCAAAACATTTTCCATTAGTAACACATGTTTACATCATAAATAGTTGGAAGATTGTTATGTATTCGTGTGCCGATTCCTTCCCTGATCTCAGTTAAGCTAGAAATAACATCAGTTTAAGAATCTGCATGTAGAAGGCTATTGTGTATTTTAGTACTTCAAGGTCAATGCTTCTCCTACCACATGGTTAGAAATTAGGTCAGAAAATGAAGCTGTTAAATGGCACATGCAGCTGAGAATTAAAGGAATGGGTGGCATGGTTTATAGTTCAAACGAAATGACACCAGGCGTTCTTTTCCACAAGCATGCATTCATAACACTACTCTTTCAGAATAGGAGAGCATTTTCCCCTATTTGGATTCCACGCATCAGTGGGCCGCTGCCTGAAAACTCCTATATTGCTTTGAAAGGGCAAACTTCGAGATTGTATGAGCGTCTATTGCTCCTAGACTTGCACTTCATTTCTAATGTTATGTGTTTTATGTTGTCTGTGTTTGATGTTTTATAGTTTACAGGTTTTAATCTATTGTTATATGCTATTTTAGTTATGTGTTGTATTTTATATTTTGTGAGGCATTGCATTTTGCTGTTTACTTTGCTTTGAGTCCCCCCAGGGGTTGAGAAAAGTGGTATATAGATGAAATGAATAAACAGTGTAGATAGGGCTGGAGAGCTGGATAGCTGGACAGCGATACCCTAGTTCGCTGGGTTTAATTAGGGAACTTAAGCTGCGCCCGTACCTTGGGAAGTCTGACTTGGCCACGGTGGTCCACGCTTTGGTTACATCCCGTTTAGACTACTGCAACGCTCTCTATGTGGGGTGGCCTCTGAAGACTGCCCGGAAGCTGCAGCTAGTCCAACGCTCGGCAGCCAGACTACTAACAGGTGCTGGGTACAGGGAGCACACCACTCCGCTGTTACACCAGCTCCACTGGCTGCCGATTAGCTTCCAAGCACAATTCAAAGTGCTGGTGTTAACCTATAAAGCCCTAAACGACTCTGGCCCTGTTTACCTCTCCGAAGAGTTCTCCCCTATGAACCATCAAGATTATCAAGATCGTCTGGAGAGGCCCTGCTCTCGGTCCCACCGGCCTCGCAAGCGCGTCTGGCGGGGACAAGGGACAGGACCTCTCGGTGGTGGCCCCTTGACTCTGGAACTCTCTTCCACTGGAGATCAGAACTATCCCGTCTATCCTGACATTTAGGAAACAGGTGAAGACATGGTTATGGAGACAGGCATTCGACGAGTGAGCCAGATATGGATGGAGGATGATGAACAATGAGTTAGTGTGACGACTGACCATTGTAGTTATTGAATGTAATTGCTGTTTTAATGTTTTAGTGTAAAATGAATTATTATGTTTTTATTAACTGTATGTGATATTATGGTTGGAAACCAGTCTGAGTCCCTCAAGAGAGGTGAGAAGGCCGGTATATAAAACTTTTAAATAAATAAATAAATAAATAAATAAATAAATAAATAAATAAGCCTTAACTTAGTTCCCTGTTTAATTAGGGAACTTAACCTGGTTAATTCGTTTCACTCACTATCTTTCAACAAACCTATCTTATACAATTGTTGTTGGGATTAGTGGGAAGACATGCACTAAGTTCTCGTGTATCTTGCAGACGCAGCATATAAATGAATAAATAGATATTGTCATGCATAACCGATTTCAGTGGGATTTTTATCAGTTCACTGTAGGCTTTTTTCATTGCTCATCGAAGAAATCTGTGAGATGGATCAGGCTGAGAAAGACCACCCAAGAACACTCAAAATGATATACAGGGTTCTCTTTCCTTTCCAACACTATCTTTGCAGTAAAGAAACCCTGTGTGGTAGATCAGGCCACTGAGAAAAAAAACCGGCAAAAAGGAGAACAGCACGTTCTCCACCTTTTCCTTAGATCCTCAGACTGACTGAAGTAGGCTATAGAGATTAATGTGTTAAACGGGGTCTGGGGAAATCCAAGGCCAAGGAGGTTGGAAGAAAGGAGGAGGAAGGAAACCAAAGGAAGGACAGGAGAAGCAGACCAATCGAGGCAGAGGTACAGAAGTGGAGGTAGACCCGGAAGACAAAAGCAGACATCACACTGGCCAATATTGAAGCATGCAACACAATGGGAAAGAACTGCATGTTTATTCTTTCCCATTATGGTGGATTCCATCAGGAAGAATCTCCTTACAGTAAGAGCTGGAAGAGGCTACCTGAGAGCATGGCAGAGTCTCCTTCTCTGGAGGCTTTTAAACGGAATCTGGATGGTCACTTGGGAGTTGAGGTTCTACATGGTCTTTGGCCTTCTCTGACAAAGAGTGCTGGTGCCCTACCAAACTGCAGCTCCTGGGATTCCATAGCATTAAGCCATGGCAATTAAAGTGGTGTCAAACAGCATGAAATTTACGATGTAGATGCAATCTCTGTGGTTTTTGGTTTTTTTTGGGGGGGTGGCTGGTCTTTCCTGTTCTGGCATCTGCCTTAGTGGGCCATAAGCTCTGCTACCAAAGAGATTTACCATATCTCACATTTAAAACCCAACACCAATTTCATTAGAAAAGAAACAGAGTGCTTCAGAGAGTGATAGATTCCCCTTCTTTAGTTGTGTTAGGAACTCCTCATCTTCAGAAGAGGAAGGGGAACAGGGAAGTGCTCAGGAATTGGAGGGGAAGAGGAATCAGACAATAAGGTTTTACAAGTGCCCACATTTCTGGAGAGGTGAAAGAAAACAGCACAGATGGTGTTTGGCTAGAATAGCTGCTAGAAACGCTGAGTTAATTGGGAGCTGCCCTAGCACCCCTTGCATGGGGATGCCAGGGCTATGCCGTTATTCCAGCTGAAGTGAACCAAACAAACTTCCAGTTTGTGTTAAATGATTTAATTAAAACAGCACTTACTTTCTGGCTGTTTTAATAGTCCAAAAGATAAAACATAAAGATAGCACTCAGCCACAGAATATAAAACAAAAACTGACAGCAAACACTGTTGCGGGTTCAAGATAACACTGTAGTCAAAAGGTGCAGTCCAGTGGTCAAACGCTGAGAGTTCAATAAGCAAAGTCCAGGGATTAAGAATCTATACCATAGTCAAAAGCCAGTCCAAAGATTCAAGGTTCTATGTTTCCAAGAGTACAGGAGACAGGTCAGGATACCAAAAATCCACAAACCTGGGGGGAAAGCAGCAGCATCTACCACCAAAATGAGACAAATACTTTTCTCCCCAAAATCAATCCCAAATCAGCTGCAACCCTTCTCTTGCATCCTTCCACCCTTAATTGCTTTCACCCACGAACTCTTACTTACAGATTACTCAACCCTTTAGAACTAAGACTTACATTAATCCTTCCATCACCAACTGCTAGGCCTTCCACCACCAACCACCATCAACTGCAGAACATGATACATGACAGGTTGTCTTACCGAGAGTTTGGATGCCCTTTTTTGGAGAGTGGTTCTATGGTGCATTGTTTCATTGGATGAAATGGTCCTTCAGGTCCATTCTCGGATTCTTTACATTGCTGCTTACCTGGGATGCCAAATTTGCCAGCCTCCTCATCCTACCATTGCCCACCAGTATTATACCAAGTTCCATATTCTGCAACTGCCTTACCTTTGTTACCTGCTGTTAATTTTCACCAGTGCCTTATTTATAAAGTAATAGAGTTATTACTAGAAAAGGAACAGCCTACCTCAAGAAAGGGCAGATGCCTCAAAGGGTTGGATGCACATCTTTTGGAGTTGGATATTTCTATAAGGCAGAGCATTCGACTAAATAACCGCAGTGGTTCCTTTCAGGTCTATATATCTCTGATTCTAATTTGAAAGGGATTCTTTGTTTTTATTTCCAGAGTCATTACCGAAAAAGGAAACTAATTTCTCACAACCCATTTTTTTGTAACGCCTAATATAGGACATCGAACTGTGGGCTTTAAGGCAGGCTACTGTAAGAAAAGAATGAAGCATTTGGAATGAGGATTTATCACAAGTTGTTAAGAATTTCCTAGACTTGAGAGGATAGCCAATGAAGAAGAATAAAAGGGAATATATAAAGACCAAGAAATCGTAAAACACATAAAGTGCAGAAAACTGGAATATTTGGATCCCATAATGAGAAATGAACAATATAGATTGTTTCCACTGGTTGTTCAAGGCAAAACAAATGGGGAAGAAAGAATAGACAGAAGAAAAATGTTTGGACCGAAAGCCTTTAGAGCAGTAGTTCTCAAATTATTTTTGACCAGGGTCCACTTGACCAGGGACCACTCTCCAACATTAGTACCCAAAGGGTTATGAATCGGTTTTTGGTCAACTTTAGATTTGTTTTGGGGTGCTGATTCAGAAAATTGCATTGGATAGACCACATCAGCTCTAGTTTCTGATACAGAACATATGCCATAGTCAGCGACAGGGAAGGAGTGGCAGGAGGCATGAAAAGAGTAAAAATAAAATAAAATAAATTCTTTTCGCCTGGTAGAAAGAGGATTTATTTGCTTTGGCCCAGTGGGGGCTGCCTCCCTGAGGCAAAAAATGCAAGACCGAAATAAATACTTGAAAGCGCCACTTTGGCCCTCCGTGGTGCTTCATTCCCTCTCTCCTCCCCATTATGACTATGGACACGTATATGATGCAATTAACAAGTGAAAGAGTCATAAAATGTAAAACATCCCTCATTATCAAAAGGAGGGAGACTGAGGGGCAAAGGGGAAGATGTACATTCAATGGGGGGTTTCAGGATGCCAAAGGGCTAGCCTTTCTGCCATGTGGCTGTCTCCAAAAAGCAGGACTTTTGGGGCCCCAAGAGAACAACCAGGGCCCGGCTCACAAGTGCAGGAAGTGGTTGAAGGCATTGTAAGCCAATTCCAGGTCAAAGAGCATTTGCCGGACCTGCGGGTTGTCCAGTTCATCTGACGCCGACATCCCACTCAGCGTCTGTAGCCATTGGTTAACCTTCTGCTGTCCCTCAAAGTCGGGCGGGGCGGGGCGGTGGCTCATGTGGTTCATGGTTTCCATCAGTTCCTGGAGGTCCAGCTGGATCTCATCCATGGCCCGTATTTCCAAGCACAGCTTGTCCATCGCGGTGATGAAGAGCGATACAATATCTGCGATGCAGTGGTTGAGGTTGCCCTTGTCATCCTTGATGGTGGTTGGCCGATCCTCCTTGATCCTTTCCATGGCCAGCGGATAGTCAAGCCGAATCTTGTGGCAAAAGTCATCGATGGAATTGATCTCCAGGCCCTGGACCTGCTTGAAGGCAGCTTTGTACTGGACAAGGAGGCGAGAGCAGGCTGCAGTGTGCATAAAAATGCTGTTTTCTGTGCAAAACAACTGGCCATGAATCTTGCGCAGAATAAATCTCAAATTGCAAAACAGACTTTGAAAACCACATGGTGTCTGAAGACTTTCTTTTAGCAGAAAGAATATTATTGAACTTATTTATTGCTTCCTTCAAAGAAGAAATGCAGTGAATAATGACATCCGTTTAAAATAAGTAGTTATAAATAATTAAAAAATAAATAAATGATGCAATTAAAAACACCCCACTTGGATTTCTCTTGATAAAAACATTCCTGAAAACTGATTAGCAACCACATCTATTCTTGCAACTACCATTCTCTGCTCCATTCTGATCTTTAGATATATTATTATTTGTAGAGAGCCGGTCCTAAATTTACCTTCCATCTAGTGTGGGTTCCCTTCACTCCTTGTCTACATGGTGGGAAAGGGAGCCTTGTTTAACTCTTCTGTGTGGAGACATCACATTGCTTTAGAAAGTGTGAACCTATAGACAGAACTGGGGCATATTTTAATCCTTGAAGGTGCCAAACACAATTTAGAAACAACCATACCGATAGGTGAGATTAATGCACCAGAAGGAAATATTTGGTGCTCATAAGACATATGTTTCGTTTTTCTAACACTGCAAAGATAGATGTGTCTCTCTGGCTATTTCCCAACTGTTTCTAGGTATGTTTTCGAAAATGTGACGATGGGAATATAACAGAAGGTAGATTGGTGGGATAGTTTAATTACCTGTCTCTTTAGTTTCCTTCTGGCCTTGAATTTAGCTACTGCTCTGGAGATGAGGACACAGAGTGATGGGTTCAAATTGTGGGAAAAGAGAGTCCATCTAAACCATAGGAAGACCTTCCAGATGGTGAGCACTGTTCAGCAGCAGAATATGTTATCTTGGAGTTTGGTGGAGTCTCCTTCTCTAGAGGATTTTAAGAAAAGCTGGATGGCCAGCTGTTGTGAGTTATTGTATTTTCTTGCATGGAAAAGGGATTGGACCGGATGGACTTTGGGCCCTTCCAGACAGGTCTCAAATGTGGGACATGTCAGGTTTTTACCTGAGTGCTTTATTTTATTTTCTTGCATGGAAAAGGGGTTGGACTGGATGGACTTTGGGCCCTTCCAGACAGACCTCAAATACGGGACATGTCAGTTTTTACCTGAGTGCTTTATTGTATTTCCTTGCATGGAAAAGAGGTTGGACTGGATGGAATTTGGGCTCTTCCAAACAGGCCTCAAATGTGGGACATGTCAGGCTTTTACCTGAGTGCTTTAATGTATTTTCTAGCACGGAAAAGGGATTGAACTGGATGGACTTTGGGCCCTTCCAAACAGGCCTCAAATGCGGGACATGTCAGGCTTTTACCTGAGTGCTTTATTGTATTTTCTAGCACAGAACAGGGGTTGGACTAGATGGACTTTGGGCCCTTCCAAACAGGCCTCAAATGCGGGACATGTCAAGCTTTTACCTGAGTGCTTTATTGTATTTTCTTGCATGGAGAAGGGGTTGGACTGGATGGACTTTGGGCCCTTCCAGACAGGCCTCAAATGCGGGACATGTCAGGCTTTTACCTGAGTGCTTTGTTGTATTTTCTTGCATGGAAAAGAGATTGGACTGGATGGACTTTGGGCCCTTCCAGACAAGCCACAAATGTGGGACATGTCAGGCTTTTATTTGAGTGCTTTATTGTATTTTCTTGCACGGAAAAGGGATAGGACTGGATGGACTTTGGGCCCTTCCAGACAGGCCACAAATGCGGGACATGTCAGGCTTTTATTTGAGTGCTTTATTGTATTTTCTTGCATGGAAAAGGGGTTGGACTGGATGGACTTTGGGTCCTTCCAAACAGGCCTCAAATGTGGGACATGTCAGGCTTTTTCCTGAGTGCTTTATTGTATTTTCTAGCACAGAAAAGGGGATGGACTTTGGGCCCTTCCAAACAGGCCTCAAATGCGTGAAATGTCAGGCTTTTACCTGACTGCTTTAATGTATTTTCTAGCACGGAAAAGGGGTTGGACTGGGTGGACTTTGGGCCCTTCGAGACAGGCCTCAAATGCAGGACATGTCAGGTTTTTACCTGAGTGCTTTGTTGTATTTTCTTGCATAGAAAAAGAGTTGGACTGGATTGACTTTGGACCCTTCCAGACAGACCTCAAATACGGGACATGTCAGGCTTTTACCTGAGACATCCAAACAATGCTTCAGGTAAATGTGAATTAATTTGGGACAAAGCAGATAAACATTTTGGGTGGGGGGAGGGGTTGGATGTGGATTTTAAAAACTTGCCTTGGCACTGATTTGACTTAAGTCTGGAAGTGTCCTTTGAGGTCTCTCCCAGTTCAATGATTCTAATATTTTCGGGAGAGTTGATTTGTATCCCAGTTAGTACACTTTTGCTGGGAGCTTACCCTAGTTCTGGAATGCTCAGCTGCAGGGTGAAGAGTTCATCTTTAGCTATTTCTACAGACTTTATTGTGACCTTTTCATGCCCATTGGAAACTGCCATGATATTTGTGGACAGTTCACACAATAGTGGCATTTTCTCTCACCTGTTTAATATCTCAAGGACCCTGTCTGCATTCAACCAGCTAGAGAAACACTTTTTTTTCATTTGGTGATTTTCTATCTGGTGGTATCTAATACTGGAATACTGAGGCTGGTTTTGTACAAGGGTTGAATGAAAAGTAATGCCTCCGCCTTTGTTACTTGGGTTTGGATGGGAATATTTTAATAAATCAAATGCAGAAATAATCCTTGGAATGTGCTCTTTAACTACCAATATTCACTTTCCCACATAATCACCAGACAACTGGATACATTTCTGTCAATGATGAACAAGTTTTCTGAAGCTGTCAAGGAAGAAGTCAACACTCTGTTTCTGCAACAGGTGTCTCACAATTCTCTCAACATCTTCATCAGAAGCATAATTATGTCCCCGCAGATCTTTTCTTTCATTATTGGGAACAGATGGAAGTCAGACGGTGCTAAATCTGGACTGTCAGGAGGATGTTGTACAGTGGTGAGATCTAGTCTCTGAAGTTTCAAGATTTTAAAGTTTCAGGCATCAGCATTCTGGGTAACCATCGTGCACAGATCTTCCGATAGCCAAGCAAAGCAATAATGTGACCCACACGTTCTTGTAAAATGCCGATTATGCTTGAAATTTCTCTCTGAGTGATATGACGATCGTCCTGAATCAATCTGTCAACCTTTTGCTTGTGAAACTCGGAGGTTGCTGCCACAGGATGTCCAACTCTTTGTTTGTCACACAAGTCAGATGTTCCCACCTCAACATCTTTAAACTTACTCGCCCAATGACGCACAGTACTCACATCAACACAATCACCACAAACAATTTGCATTCTCTGATGAATCTCCTTTGGGGTGATACCTGGTGCTGTCAAGAATTCAGTGACTGCATGTTGCTTAATTTTCATTGCACAGGGTTCCATACTTTACACTTTAACAACACAACTGTTCAATGCTAAGGCTTCCTACCAAAATGGAACTGTAGAGGAGAGTCTACTGAACAAGCCAGTACCTGCCACATACCACTACTGCCATCTGTTGAGGAGTTACGAAGGTGGAAGCATTACTTTTCATTCAACCCTCATATTTACTCAGTTGAAGTTTCAATTCTTTGTTTTCTTCCAAACATTTGACGTTAAAATGTTCAGTTTTAATTGACTGAAATAGGTTTGATGCCCCATTGTTTCTGGTAGGTTTTCTCCTGTTTTCACAACATTGGCTATTTTGTGTGGTGTGTGAACAAAGGATTTTTGCTCCCCCTTTCCTTATTTGAGAAATTCGTACAATAAATAACAATAACCAGTAAAGAGAGCTTTACTTTGATTCATCTTGAAATCTGGTAGCAATTTTAATCTCAGCAAATATATGCCGCAAAGAAAGAAAGGTCAAAACTCTTCCTTCGGGGCATTTCTGGAAGCCGGAGCTGCCATCTTTGAGCTATCCCCTTAACATTCCTCTAGACTTTCAAGATGTCCTTACATAGTTTATTTAAATTGGACTAAACCGTAGCTGCTTCTTTTGATGAATATGTACTTCTTCTTCTTTTCCGGAGGTTGCTGTCAGCCAACACTCCCTGAAAGGCTCGAGGCAAAAATCATGGGACTTGGTGAACTCACTGGAAGGACTGTGAACTTTTGTCTTAAAGTATTCATGCCGGTATGGAAGAATATTAAGCAAAGCATTCAAAGCGGGAATAGAACTGTGTTGAGTTGATGGGAGCTTCAGGGGATTTTAAAATATTTGAACTTCCTGTTGCTCTTTTAAAAAAGAAGAAATAATAACAGCAATTCTATGGATTTTGGAAGCGACTGAATTTTACTCTTTCAAAAGGCCAGCGGAAGTCTCTTTTCATTTTTTTGTAGTCCAGGTTTATCAAAAAACAAGTCATGCCAGACTAATCTGGTCTCTTTCTTTCTGTACCTGGATTTCAGGAAGGCCTTCTTTGACAAGCCCCCCCATGACCTTCTGGCAAGGAAACTAGTCCAATCTGGGCTAGGCAAAACTACGGTGAGGTGGATCTGTAATTGGTTAAATGGACGAACCCAGAGGGTGATTCTCTCCAATGCTTCCTCTTCATCCTGGAAAGAAGTGACGAGCGGAGTGCCGCAGCGTTCCGTCCTGGGCCCGGTCCTGTTCAACATCGTTATTAATGACTTAGATGAAGGGCTAGAAGGCATGATTATCAAGTTTGCAGATGACACCAAATTGGGAGGGATAGCCAATAGGGCTGGGCGGTTTCATTTCGTTAATTCGTAATTCGTTAAAAATTTGTTATTTTTTTTGTTAACGAAGCGATAACGAACCATTCTGGAGCAACTTAAAAATGAAACGAATTTTTCAATTCGTTTCGTAAATGCTTCGTATTTCGTTATGTATTCGTTTCGTTATTAGTTTGAGGTCGTTTCGTTATTATTTCCGCATGTCTGGGGCAAGTTTTATAGTTGTTTTTTGTTTAATTAGTGAAAAAAAATTATAATAT